TCTAAACTTGTAGCAGATTAATCTGGTCAGATTGTGTGAAGATTGGTTGAGAGGAACATCATACTTAGGTGAGGTTTTGTCAGCTTTAAAGGGACCTATAGACCTGTATTTTTACCGAGTTTTGTGCAATTTGCATTCCGAATTTTGTGGAATTTGCACGTGTGGTTTGGGAGATATGAGCTGAGAGCCTAAGGGACATAATCTACTATATCGCTGTTTGTTTTAGTTATTCATCTTGTTAATTGGTATGGTTGATGTTGTAGATGCCAAGACCATGTCTTGATGATATTATTGTTGTTGTGATGTACATCTAAATGTTCTATAGAAGACTTTATTTGTACCCATTGTTGATTATAGTGGAAGTTTAAAGTGGGCTGGTTGGTCCCATGGTTTTTTACTCCTCACACCGAGGAGATTATTCCACTTTTAATCATTGTGTCATATGTGCATGTCTATGTTATTCCGCTATTGATTTGCTAGTTAATACTACACTAAAAGTTTATGGCAAGATGAGGGATTGATTGTGTGAAATACTCCCTCCGTCCTAAAATACAGGGCTCGATTAATTTTGTTAGGATAAAGGTTTGACCAATAAATTCTCTACTATAAATTTATTTTTATGGCATATAGTTTATGTTATTAGATTCGTATTCGTATTCGTAAGTACTCTCCTATGGTTATACTTTCTAATATCATAATTGATATCTTAATAGAGAAATTATAGGTTAAACCTTTGTTCTAACAAAATGAAATACTCCCTATAAAAAAGATGGAGGAAGTATATTTATTGGGTAGTAAAATTTTTCTCTTGTATGTTGAAGGTGCTTGGTTCAACCCCAACAAATTGTTCATTTTACCGATCTTAAATACTCAAGTGAAGTTGTGCCTTTAATATTAGGAAAAATTGGTTCTATACCATAGAAATTTTTGGGTTTAGTTTTATATCATCGAAATGTTTCGGTACACATTAATACCACCCAAATTCTCCTCCGTTATATTTTTTAAGCACTTCTGTTACCTCTGAAAGTGCATCTAGGACCCCTTATTTATTTTGGTGCTAATGACAACACAATTAGAGGTTCTCTAATACTCTTTGTTGAGATGGATGTAAGGATAAAAAGGAGTGGAACTTGAGTTTAAAAGCTTTGCGGCATCTTTTATGGTAATTGTCTTCTAATCCATGTATTTCTTGTGTTCTTGAGTATTAGGGTGCCGTACTATTAAGAGGGATACCACATGCATAAAATTGGTAGAACACTAGTGCTCAAAATCCTGTATTTTAAGTGTTCCTATTTTTCTCCTATCGGACCATCCGATCTTGATCAGGCTATCCAAAATTTCACAGAACTTTGCTCTCTGTCTTTGGTCTGAGTGTTGGCAAAAATATCAGACTATCCGATATATCGTCGGATTGTCCGATACATCGGACTGTCTGAAATTTCTCAGAACTTCACTCCCTGTCTTGAATTGCTTTTTATTTCTGTCTTGAATTGCTTTTTATTTCTCTTGAGTGATTTTCAGATCAGACTATACGATGTGATCAGAGTATCCGATGATACAGAGACTCCGAAATTTAATGGAACTTGAGTCTCTGTGAGGATGAAGTTCTTGCCTAAAAAATTATCGGACTATCCGACATGACTTCGGACTTTCCGACATGTCAGACAGTCCGAAATTCTTCAGAACTTTGTCCTCTGTCTCTGGGTTGTTTGGGACTCAAAAACATCGGACTATCTGATGTCATCTCGGACTTTCCGAGGTGGGATGAAAAGATTCCCTTCCCAACGGCCACATTTTGGGGGCATCTATAAATACCCCCCACCTAACCCTTTTCTAGGGTTACCCAACTCATTCATTCTCATTCACTTTGGGTTGAGCTTGGTGCTAAGATGCTTTGGATCTTTGAGCTCTTTCTCCTTCTCTCAAATCCCTCCTCGTTCTTTGTATGGTGGATCTTGGTGGTTGTGGATTTGGTGTTTGAGGGCCTAGTGTGTGTTTCACTCGATCTTGAGCACTAGGGTTTGACCAAGAGTTGTGTGGTGTTTGTTACTCTTGGAGGTTAAGGACTCCTAGACGGCTAGGTGTTACTCCCGAGCCACCGATCTATGTGTGGTTGGCCGGGAGAAGTTTGTGAAGACCGGATCTCGCCTCCGCAAGGAAAAAGATACCCCTTAGTGGAAGGAGGAGTGCTTAGTGCAACCTCTTGAGAAAAGGGTTAGCAAAGACCTGGCTCTTAGTGAGCTCCTCAACAGAGAGTAGAATCCCCTTAAGGATTTGAACTTCGGGAACAACTCTGTGAACTTCATCGTTGGTGATATCTCTTCATCCTCTCTTTAGCTTTGCTTAATTATGCAGCTATAGATCTAGTCACTGTTTGTGCTATACTCTTGTTTGTGTGCTAGATCTGCTTATTGTGATTCTTTAGTGGATCAGACAGTCTGATCCAACATCAGACTATCTGATAATTTCGGATAGTCTGACTGTAGATCAGACTTTCCGACCCTAACTCTGTTTTAGCTTCCGCATAAAGTTTTAAATTAGCCTATTCACCCCCCTCTCTAGGCCTAATTGACCCTTTCAACCTCCCGTGAAAATCCAATACACAAACACCCCCAACATTTTTTTTAGTCTGGCCTGCTTAGCCCTTCCCGTCACGCCGTCACTCTCTGGCCTCGTCGCCGCCGCTGGGTGAGTCTGCCTCTTCCCAGCATGCCTCCGCTTCCTCACGCGCCTCAGCCCTCAGGCCTCCCCTCCTCTCACGGCACCTTCGCTCCCCTCCCACGTGACCTGTCCCCACCCTCGATTGACGCGCCTCCACATCTGCCTCCGTTTCTTTGCCGGACCGCCAATCTCCTGTCTTGACCACGTCGGTGATTCAGTTATACATAATAACTAAAGTTGTAATCTTATCTTCTTAACTGCACCAATTCAGTTGTAGACAATAACTGAATTTTTTTGGATCTTTGGTTGCATCGGGAAGAAGACCGCTAAAACTATCACTCAAGAAAGTTCTTCACCAACTAGTTCACCACCTAGTTCTGGACCAATGACAAGGAGTAGGGTAGTTGCAAGTCCAGTTTTGAGACATGAGCAAGTTGGATCACCTAGTAGTTCTGGACCAATGACAAGGAGTAGGGCAATTGCAAGTCCAACTTTGAGACATGAACAAGTTAGATTACCTGGTGGCATTGCTAGGCACTTAGATATGAAATAGAAGAAAGCTTGTGTTGGGCATCCACAATGTGGTAAAAAGTGGGTAGTAGGAGGCCCTATTACCTGGTTCAACATTGTGGAGATAGGTATCAAGGTGGGTACTAATATTCGGTAGTAGCACTACTACCCGGTTGTATAATTAAACAAATATTACAATCTCTCTTCTCTCCATTCCACCAGCCATCTCTCCCATTCTCACAATATTTTTTTTGTTGCAATGTGGCCCACCTTACTACCACCTCCTACTAGTATACATTGTGACAATTGAAACAACTATAACCTACTGTTAAAGGGACCCACCTTATTACCAACTTAGGCAATATACATCGGTGATGCCCTTAAATTTTATGATTGTCTGAATTTTTTTTCACCATGGTCTGAATATTTGTGATAGTCTGAAATTTTATGATGGTCTGAATATTTGTGACAATCTGAAATTTTTGAAATAGTCTGAAATTCTTGTGATGCTCTGATATTGTGATATTATATGATGGTCTGAGTTTATGTTGCCTTGCTCTTCACTTGCATCAGTACTGCCATTACATTTCACTGTAATTAAACACTCAAAGTGAACTCAACTGAAATTACAGCAGAGAACATCTATCACTGACCACTCCTTGCTGAAACCATCGTCAAGAAAACTAGAAAGTTTTCAGTTTCAACATTGAAAAGGGAAAAGTGACATCACATTTCACTGAAATTGAACACTGGAACTGAACTCAATTGGAACATCTACCAGCGACAATAATGCTCTGCAGAATGCCCATCAGCGACAATATAGATTGAAGCCTATGCAATGCAATGCTTCGCAGATGAAGAACCCCAACCGGTCACCGACGAGCGCCTTGCAGAGGAACCAAAAGATGCACTTTTGGGGCGGGGTCAGGTAGTTCACGTCGACGGGGTCGGCGGCTGAATTGTCGACGGCGGCGAGCATGCATGCCGTCGATGACGGCGGAGCTTGGCCGCTCAATCGCACGTGCTGCAGAGGGGGTAGGTAGATGGAGAAGGCCTTGCCGTTGAAGGACATGCTAGGGATGTTGGGGCCGATGCCGATGGGGACGTCACGCTTGTCGTCGACGAGATGACCGCGACCAACTTGGACCTCTTTTCATTTGGTCAGGAACACTGTATTGGTGGACTTGGATCTGATCAATTTGATGAAGGCTTTAGGGGAAAAGTTTGTAACGGAAGGTAACACAAGTGTTTAACGGAGGAAAATTTGGGTGGTAACGTGTAGTTTGATGGTATAAAACTAAACCCGGGAAATTTCAAACCAATTTTTCCTTAATTTTAATCTATAGTTGGGACAAGTTTTCATTTGATGTTCCCGTTTCAGGGCATTGCGTCGACGTCGTCCAGAGGCAACAGCAATCGACATGTTCCCTCATTTGGGGATGTGCAGTCAGCTTGGATGGCTTGTTTTACTGATTTGCGTCTGTAATGATTGGTTGTAATGATTGTAACCAAGGACTATGTAGTGTGAATTGGCACCCATCAACATTTCGACATCTGTTTTTATAGGCACCAGTACAAGAGTTTGAATTGGCTGATCAAATCATTTTTTGAGTATGACAAGTGTGCTCAATGTGAATCACAAGTGAGTATGAACATGTACAGAAACTAATTGTGAATCACGTTAAATCCAAGTACAGTTTGGGAGTATGGAAATCAAAATTTCAGAACCTTTACATTCAACTTCATTTTAGAACTCGCATATATTTGGTTTTTTGGCATCACATCATATGCCTGAAGCACTGGCAACCAAAACTAACAGATCAGAGAAAGAAGGAAAAAGAAACTCTGCACATGCCACAGACTGTAACAGGAAGAAAGTAGATTACAATTCCTAAATGGCCAGATTTAGCAAACCACCACAAATCATGCATAGGGAAAGTTTCAAAACCATTAGTATGTGTCCTACTCCTAATGACAATATAGTTCAATATGGAAAAGAAGTTCCTGTTTCAAAAAGGTAGGAATGCAATTTCATTCTCTTGGATGACATATAGGGATCATCAGGTGTTGGGCAATATAAATCTACTGCTGATGCTGCCGGCCGGGACGACAATGTTGATGGAGCTTCATCCTCGTCAATAGCGACAGGTCGTTCATCATGAGAAGCTGGTTCAGAAAATGGTGCGTCTATGCTCTCCCAGTTCAGGTCATCTTTGCAAAAAGGCTAGGCTCTTCATTGAACCATTCATCCAAAACGTCTACATAGCCATGTCTGATTGGGTCAGTGACATCTCTGAGTTTGTAAAGCTTCTTGCAAGACTGTTAACAGTATAATTAGTAAAGCAGGACGAGTACTACCAAAATTCCCAAATACATTCCATCATCTTTATATCTTCAGTTAGCAAGAATAAAGCCCATAAATAAGCAAAAATTGGAAGTAATTTTGCAACAGCTAAAATGTTCTGCCATACAAAATTGAGTAATTGGATCCCCATCAGGAGTAGATCAGATCATCAAGAATTCATACCATGAGGTGAGCAGCTAGCAGTACTTGGCAAAACAGCCAATGTCACGAGGGAAACAGATGGCTTGAGGACAGCTGGTGACAGACGGGGATGTGCCAACCTGGTGGCTGGAGGGCTCGACGCCACAGGCACTTCAACCCTCACACATAGCGGGCTCCTTTTCAAAGTCGAGTGGCTGATACAGTCCTTGATCTCTCTATATCTCTATCTATCTATATGTCGGGGTAAAAAGCTTTCATTATCTAACAAACAATCTATATGTGGGTGTGAAACGTGCAGATCGAGGGAAGGATAAAGTTATGAACAGAACGAGCTGACAAAAATGCTTAGCAAACCAGATAAAGAAGCCCAAATCCCTCACGAATATCAACAAAGGACAGGCAGCCAAAAAGGTGACGGAAAATTTTCAAGTTTTAAGGTGGCATGATAACTAGCGATTCCCCTATTATATAAAGGACCAAAGAAATTTGTCTATTCTTCTAGCAGCAGGTCATGCATAGTAGTGACTAGCCACAACAGAGGGGAATATATTAGTATTATGAACAGAATTAAGATAAGAATCCTACGAACAAAGAGAATGCTTTTTTGGCATATGATACTCTGATTCACATAAGGCTGTAGGGAGTCACGTGATATTACGATAATAATGGCACTGCAGTTTATTTCACAACCTATGGAAGTAAATACCAACTTACATCGGAAAATGATCTTACGGTCATCAACACTCAACAGTGAGCCACATAACTCAATAATCTAAAATTGTGGTAAGGAGCTGACTGCCCTTGAGTCGTCAGTTATATCTGCTAAACAGATAAAAAGAAGTAAAATATCGATGCCCATGATTTATGCACATTAAGAATGTACATAACATTTCTATTTAATGTGAAGAAAAAATGAAGCCTGAAGGCTACTTTTATTTTTACCATTTGTACTTTGCCACAAAATAACCACCAACTTCAGAGCTCAACCCAGGGAGTTGTCTAAGCAATTCTAGAATATGGCTACGCTTGTACTTATTGCAATTTAGTTAGATAATACACAAGAACAAGCAAAGGATTTGATGATAAGCACACTACAACGCAAATATTGCAGCGTAGATGCATATGTTGTGCCAAAGGAATAGCTATCAAAGTAAGAAATTGCTTTATTGATTAGGAAAATTTGAAAAGGGGTTGAGATTTTCAGTTTCCGGATTTTACCTCGAGTCAACAGTAAAAGATCTGCACTAGAATGTGTAGAGAAACAAAAATGAAGTCAATGGAAAATGAGGTACGTAAAAGGGTTAAAACTTTCAGTTTCAAGTTTTCAGCTTGATTAATGCAGCTTGATGATTAATTTACAGTACTTGTACACTTGAACTCTATTGGCTATTAATTGACAGAACCAAAGAGGCTAACATGCATAATAGTCATAATGAATGGCACAGTTGACTTACAACAAAATCGATGCATATGCATGTAATTCAAATAAGTTTTGTATACAAGTAACCCAAATATATGTCGAGCAACTCTGAATTTTGCAGCCTACGTATAAGTCCAGTTTCAAAATCCGCAAATGAAATTAATTGACATGTGTGATTAATCAGTAGTACTCCCTCTGTCTTAAAAAAACAAGGCGTCCTTGTTTTCCACAAAGTCAATATTTAAAAGTTTTGACTAATAGTTAAACTAACAATATGAATGTTTAGTGTTATGCATGCGACATCATTAGATTCGTATTTGAATGTGTTCAGATGGTGTAAATGTTATAGTTTTTAATAGTATCTTATGGAAGAAATTAATGGTATTATTGAAGATCGTGTACAATTATAATATGCCTTGTATTTTAGAATAGAGGGAGTAATTGTTAATCCCTTTGTATGGACTATCAAACGAAATGAGTGAAGGTGGCAATTAATTAATAGGCAAATATTCAGATACACACAAACACACCTTGTATAACAAGGAGTAGAAATATTCATAGCGCAGCACTGCAGCATTACAATCCTAGGTACAGCAGTTGATACTATTGTAATGCCTGTGCGGCATTCCATTTAATATTACAAAGATGACAACACAATTCAAAGTACAGAAAGATGACATGTTCATAAGCATATTGAAAAATAAAACTTCTATGCCAAACTTGTATAGAATTGTGCTAAAATTGATAAAGAACAGATATAAGACAACCAACATGTTGCTCAAATTAATTCTAATCATTATTGGCTCTCAGATGTTGGGCTGCTGAAAATACAGATTTTCAGCCTCCTCAACTCAGGCGTTGGACTGCCAGAGAACTGGTCTCCTACCTCCACAACACCAGGGTCAATTATCACTGATTAACTATATTCCTCAATGTGTGATACAGTAAACAGAAAACAGAGGTAACAGTACACACGTAAATTGCCTACTGTAGGGTGTCAGAAGTGCATAAAGGTCTATTTAATCAAGCAGTACGGTTGAGCAGAATGTATTCAGCTAAACAGACTAAGAATCAATGATACAGGATAGTAATACTATGTGTAAATACTAGCAATACTCTACATTACATACAGTATCAAAAGCAAATCTGAAGCACAAAACTAAAGCAATTTATTTATAGCTGTTACCAGATCAGATAATTAACTAGTATCACAAGAAGAGCAAATTTGTCGCTTGGCACAGGATTAAGGCCACATATGCAACTAGAATTGTCCTTTAATCTCTATAGACCCATATCGTCATTGAGCACACAAGAAAGTAAGATTTCCAATAGAATACTCACTGATGAACAGGCACTCAAAGCCGTTTAGTGTTGCCGCTGTCCCAGAAATCCAATTGCCGCCGCTTGTGCCGCAGTCTCACCGGCAAGGAAGACGGAGAATGTAGCTGCTCACGCCGTCTCCTCCTTCCTCCCAGAGACCAACACCTTCTTTAAGAGCAGGTTGTAGTGCTTGCACCCGTGGGATGGACACAGACACCAAGATGCACCAGCACCATACAAGGTGATTCCACCGACGACTCCGGCAAACAAGTCGCCGGCGATCTGCAGAACCAAGGACTAGCGGAGAAAGAGGAGAAGTGGTTGACTCGGGTTTTCGTGCTGATCGAGAGGTGGCTCAACTGAAGAAGAAATAGGGAGAGAGAGCTCAGCCTCGCCGGGGAATCCGCGCATGATGCAGCAACCATCGGCCAGGGCCGTTGGTTGCGCCGCCGCCGCCTCCCTTATATGCCACTCTAAATTAACCGGCTCCCTTATATGCCACTTCAAATTGGCTTATCCCTTTTATGCCACCGATTCAAATTTCTCCTCCCTTTTATGCCATCGCCGTCAGTCCACCGTCAGTTGACCGTTAATTTTATTGAAAAAAGATACATTTGCCCTTGAGAATTAGTATACAACCAATAATTTTAGTACTAATATAGCTACTGGATACAACATATAAAAATTGATTTTTTTTCTACATCACATACAATTTTAGCCATTACCATCACAAATAAATTTTCAATGTAAGTATGAAACATGTAGTTTTCCAACAATATTTTTAATATAAAGAGCATTTTTCACTGGTTCTGACAAAATTTTGTTCACTCAAAAAGGATTTAAAATAAATTAGTTATGATTTTCTGAAGTTTACATATTTTTTAGTTGAGAGGGCATATTGGTCATTTACGAAAATAACTAACCTTTGACTAACAATCAACTAACACTATAGTGATGAGAGTGGTATGAAAGGGTGGAAAAACTTGAACTAGTGGCATATAAGGAAGAACCCAATTTTAAGTGGCATATAATAGAACTGGTCAAATTCTAATGGCATATAAGGGATTCTCTCTAAGCAGAAGGACTAGTAATAGCTGCTTAATTAGTACTACTGATTAGCCCAGGCCCAGCCATCTTTCAATTGCGGGGCTGAGCCAGGTTATCTGCTTGCTGCACCATACTGGCCACAGCAGCAGCTGGATGTCATGCAGGATGTCCGCCCGGTTGTACCCTAAGTCATCACGCCGCGGAGAGTCTGCTTCCTGGCTGTCCCAGCCAGTGGCGGAGACAGCGTGGGGGGCTTAAGCCCCCACTACCCCTAATAAATTATTAAAGCCCCCATAATACCCCCTACAATTTTAATCCTGAGGGGAGCTAAGATAGATTTTGTTTGAGATTGTTAGAAGGCCCAAAAGGCTGAAAAGGCCAAAAAAAAAATCCCCACAACCCCACGCAACCCTAATCTCCTACCTCCAGCGTAGAGAGAGGCGTCGCTCTTGGCCTCCTTCTGTTCGTGTTCGCGTGTGGCGGCGGCAGACGAGCACGAGTCGCGTGACGGGGCGACGGCTTCCAGTCCAAGCGGAGTTGCGGCGCCGGCGGGGGAACCTGGGAGTCAGGGGCGCGGGCGCGCGGCATCAAGCAGGGCGCAGGCGAGCGGCAGCAAGCAGGGGGCAGGCGGGCCGGCGGGGGGACGCGGCGGCGGCGTCTATGCAAGGAGCAAAGGGCGGCACCGTGGTAGCAGCAAGCACCCAGAACAACAGATCGAGGATTTGAGGAATTGAGGTATATAAAATTTCTGATTTGTCATTTAAAATCAATTTCAATTGTCAAGTCTAGTTGTTATTAATAGTTCAAGTCTTCAAGAAATCATAGAGATATTGAATTGAAAATTTTATTTGTGATTCCTAGTTTGCTACTTTGTTATATTGCTAGATTGTGAAGATGTCAAAAAGAACACGGCTCATATATTATTTTAGTTCAAGTAACACGAATACCAGCGATCCTCCACTCAACAATGAGATTGCAAGTCAGTCAAAGAGACCTAGGGCAGAGTTTAGTCACATAGATATCATTCGTGATCTAGGGAAACGGAAACAAATTGAGAATTATCCATCTGAAACCAGATATTTGCACATTTCCTCGTAAGTGGCAAAGTAGTGAATGGAGATCCTTTCAAAAAGCTTTGTTATGTATAATGTTTATTTTTCGTTAATTCTATATATTTATACTTTGGATTAGACATATAGCTAATTTACATGACACATGTCTTGACTTTTATTGGTCACTTTTGGTTTAGCCCCCACTATATTTTTATGTTTTTATCATGGCTCCGCTACTGGTCCCAGCGGCTGTTGTACTGAACGCTGAGGAGGATAGCTCATGACATAGTCTTCCACTTAACCACCAGAGGGGCCGCGCCACCTAGGTCGATGCCGTTCACCGGCCAGTTGTCGCTGGTGATGAGCATGATTGGCATGAAACGTGAGGTCGGTCTCACAGAAGGTTACCGCCATGACCGCAACGGCGCGGGCGAGGCAGCCGGCGTCCTCGGATGGCGACGGGCCATCTCCTCCAGCGCACGAAGCGTGGAGTCCCTGCTGACTACCAAGTTCCCCAGCGCCCTGCATGTACCCGCCGACCAAGCTGAACTGAAGTAGTCGTCGTCCAGCCTCATTAGCACCGTTGCTCCAGGTATGATGCCGAAGCAAGCACGCCTAGCTTGTTGGAGAAAACGTACCAGCTAGCGCCCCGTCCTGTCCGTGAATCCTGCGATGTACTCCCTCCGTCTAAAAAAAAAGACAAACCCTAGTTTCCGTGTCCAACGTTTGACTATCCGTCTTATTTGAAAAAAATATAAAAAAAATTAAAACGATAAGTCACACATAAAGTATTAATCATGTTTTATCATCTAACAACAATGAAAATACTAATTATAAAAAAATTTATATAAGACGGACAGTTAAACGTTGGCCCAGAAACTTAGGGTTTGACTTTTTTTAGACGGAGAGAGTAGAGGTTGTTGACGCGGATCGCAATCATGATCTTGTCATCTTCCTAGCTCGTTGATGCCTCTCGATCAGCTCGAGCATCAGCCACCCTGCCGGCTTGCGCGCGGTTGTACGTACGTCTGCTGAGGAAGAAGACCCACGTGCCTGCCGTCAACCCTGTTAATTGCTGCAGTACGGAATGATCGATCTTCGCGCGCATCCTCGACATCAGGTCGCCCAAGTCGCCGTGCGCGACGTCGAACGAAATCACGTCATGTGGAAAGGTGGCAGGTCCTGCAGATACACAGCACGCACGTACTCCCTTCGTCCCAAAAAATGACAAACCATGAATTTCCGTGTCTAACTTTGATTGTCCGTCTTATATGAAATTTTTTTATAATTCGTATTTTCATTATTGTTAGATGATAAAACATGATTAATATTTTATGCGTGACTTGTCTTTTTAATTTTTTTCATAATTTTTTTAAATAAGACGGACGGTCAAACGTTGGGCACGGAAACCAGGGTTTGTCTTTTTTAGAACGGAGGAAGTACTCCTTATAATTAGTTCAAAATTACACTACTAATAACTATTCCCTCCATCCCATAATATAAGGGATCTTGAGTTTTTACTTTCAATGTTTGACCGCTCATCTTATTCAAAAAAAATTAAAATTATTATTTATTTTATTTGTGACTTACTTTATTATCTACAGTATTTTAAGCACATCTTTTCGTTTTTTATATTTGCAAAAAAAATTTGAATAAGACGAGTGGTCAAACGTTACAAGTAAAAACTCAAAATCCTTTATATTGTGAGACGGAGGGAGTAGCTAGTACCATTGATTGTTGCAACATGATCGACTTACTGTGCTGGATTGAGAGGAGGATCAGTGTCGTACGCCACACACTGATCGTCCATGCAGTATGCAGGCCACCAGATAGAACACTCGCCACGCGGGAGGACTTCATGGTTGATCTCGCTCAGCTGGTAGCTTGAAGAAGACGGCCGGGGATGGCCCTGTTTACATAGCGCCCGCCCGGGCAATATAATCTCTCTCTTGTACTCCAATGGTAGTTTACTCTGCACTAGTCACTCTTTGTTACAAATTAACCACTCTATATCCCCAGCACCAAGCTGCTAGCTAGTACGTTTACGGCAGCTCTCTCGGTTGAAGCTCTCATACTAAAATTGATTCACTACGTACTGGCTTTACTGCTACAAGAGCAACACCACTATTAGTTCATGCTACTTATTCGGCTTACCGCGTTTGCTTGTTTTGCCTATCAGAGCCATACGGGCAACAATACTGAAATTAATTCACTACTGGCTCTACTGCTACAAGAGCAACATCATTATCCGTTCAGTTCAGGATACTTATACGGCTTAGCGCGTTTGCTTGTTTTGCCTATCAGAGCCATACAGGCAGCTCTCTCGGTTGAAGCAATACTCAAATTGATGCACTGCTACTATAAGAACAATACAAGTGCAACCAGTTACAGCCATCTCTACACGCTTCCCATTGACACATTTCAGTATTTTCCATCACTGCCTTTGTAAACTTCAGGGAACACCCCCTCGTCTAAATGCTTTAGATTTATGTGGTTTAGACTGAGAAATGAACTACCTAGAAGAAATGGAAATCAATTGATCAAAACCATAATATGGTCACCGTATATGGTGATCAAAATTCTGTGACTAATAGTCTTTGATCCCTCACTGACACAGCACCTTATTGAGTTAACCAATGAATTATCAATACAGATAGCATCCACATCTACATCTTTAACGAATAGGAAGAGCAAATGATTCACAGGCTCTCCTCTACTGCTACATCAAGAAACATCCCTCATTAGCAGTGGTAAGGAAGAAACATCACTCATTTACTTTATACTGAGTATTTACTTTTTTCGAAAATACGCTTGGAATGCGTATCATTGTATTAAGATTGAGAGTAACAAAGAATTACAAGACTATAATCCAACAAAAAGGATTATAATCAGGAAAAAAGAAAAAACACATCACGCCACGTGCTAGCTCCACCAACACACCCTAAGGAAGTGACCTAGTACCAAAACGGCCGCCTAAAGCAAACCAATCTTCGCTGGGACTAGAACAGACCAAGAACACCTCTAAAGCGACGCCTTCAAGAAGGAAGCGACGCTAAAAACGTTGTGGTCGCCCGTCCAAGGACTGGACAAGGTTTTCACCCAGAGGATTGAGGGGGGAGAGAGGTACCTCGACAGCGCCCTCAAGAGGTTTGCGGCGTCCAAAGACGTCGCCGCTGCCGGCCAAAAGAACTGGCTGAGCTTTCGCCTAGACCTGCCTGCATCCCAACTGCCGCGACCTCTTAACGACCACCAGCCTTACACTACAAAAAATATGTTAATCTATGACGGATTTCCTGTGACATATTCAGAAAACGTCATTAACTATGCACAATCTATGACAGTTATCTATTTTTCGTCATGGATCTAGAGTATGGATAT